AGTACTGCTTCCTCCTGAAGGAACATCCTTCTGTGGTGCTGGGGGATTGAACCGCGGTCCCTGTGCTTTGCTAAGCTTGTTCTAAGTAGGTGCTTTAGACCACTGAGCCATCTCACCAGCCCAGACAACTTTTTTTAAAAAATCCAAAATGTGTTTATTGGGATGGCTTTCCATTCCTCTTTATTCAGGGTACTGTTAGTGTTGTCTCCTCCTGAAAGAAAAATCCTTCTATAAGCCTTACTTTTCATCCTGTAGGCTGGCAGAGGGCCATGGAGTAGCCAATACACCAAACTACTGTCTGTGCACATACAGCATCCCGGGGACTTAATCTCTATGAAGTAGGAATTGGGGCTATGCACCAGACACTGCTTGTGCTTCCTCTTCTTCTCTGGAGAGGGATGAAGGAGCTCTTTTTTTTTCTTTTGGGAAGAACCAGGGATTGAGCTCAGACCCTTGCATTTGCCAGGGAAGCACTTATTCTACTGAGCCATCTCCCTGGCCCCAAAGGAGCTCTTTTGTGAAGGGCATGTTCTTGTGAGGAGGTCCTCATTGCTGGAAAGCTGAGAGTTTTTTCAGTGCACAGTTCACTAGTTTCTAGTACATTCAGAGTTGTGTATCCATCTCCACAACCAATTTTCATCACTTCATAAAGAAAATTTTCGTTACTTCATAAACCCCATGCCAAAGAGGTGGGGCACACCCTACAATCTCAGCACTGGGAGGCTGAGGCAGAAAGACTGCATGTTCAAGCCCAATTTGAGCAACTTAATGACTTAGCAAGGCTCTGTGTGTCAAAATTTTAAAAAAGGGTTGAAGTTGTATCTTCGTGCAAAAGCACTGGGTTCACTCCCCAGTGCTGAAGGAAAAGAACACCAAAAACAGGCCTATTGTTATTTATTTCCTATTGTTTTCTCCCCTCAATTCCTTGCAGCCTTTATTCTGTATGCCTATGGATTTGCCTATTCGGAGTATTTCATTTTCATGTAAATTGAGTCATATTATGGGTGGCCTATACTCTTTCTTTCTTTGTTTGCTCAGGCTGATATTTTCTTTTATTTATTTATTTTTAAACATTTATTTGTTGTGTGTGTGTGTGTGTGTGTGTGTGTGTGTGTGTGTGTGGCCAGCTCAGCCCACCAGGGGGCGCGGCTGGCTGGCATGTGGTGCTAGGGGATCGAACTGCATTCCTTGTGCTTTGCTTAGCTTAGCTTGTTCCAAGTAGGTGCTTTAGACCACTGAGCCATCTCTCCAGCCCCGATATTTTCAAGTTTTACTCATGTGGTAGCATCTTATCAGTACTTTATATTCTGTAATTAATATTTTACTGTATGGATGGCCCACATTTTCATTCATCATTTGAGGGCCATTTAGATTATTTTTTAGCTGTTAAGAACAGTGCTGAGACTGGGCATGGTGCTGCACACCTGTAATTTCAGCTCCTGGGAGGCTGTAAACAACCGGATCACTACGAGTCCCATTTAGTAGTGAGACCCTGAACACCCTGTAGACCCTTCCCTAAAATACAAAAAAAAAACCACAAAAAACCAGTGCTGCTTAAAAAGAACAGTGCTAGGGGCCGGGGAGATGGCTCAGTAGAATAAGCACTTCTCTGGCAAACGCAAGGGCTTGAGTTCAATCCCCGGTTCTGCAAAAAAAAATAATAACATATGGGGCTATGACTTTTCCACATCCTATCCAACACTTCTTTTTTTTTTTTT